CACACACACACACACACACACAGAGAGAGAGAGAGAGAGAGAGAGAGAGAGAATGGAAGAAAGAAAGAAAGAAAGAAAGAAAGAAAGAAAGAAAGAAAGAAAGAAAGAAAAAGAAAGTGGGAGCGAGACAAAAGGAAGGAAGGAAGGAAGGAAGGAAGGAGGGAAGGAAAAAAAGAGAGAAAGAAAGAAAGAATTTATGACCAGAATTGAGCCCAAAATTTTGGTTGCTAAACAAGAGTGTTGTTAAGTGAGTTTCACCACATTTTCCAAGTTGGACACACCCTCCTGGTCACATGGCCATAGAGCTACTCCCACAAAACAGGCCATACGTACAGAATAGGTTCTAAAACCACTTGGAGTAGCTGGTTGGATTAGAAGATCTCCAAGGTCCCTTCTGATTTGCAGCATTCCTAGATTTCTGGATTAATATCTACATGAATCAGCTGTGATTGACAATGGCTATATGTTTAAAAAGATTTAGCATGACACATTTTGCAGGAATAATTTCTTAAAAATTATGGGTGGTTGGCAGCAATCTAATGGCATAGAATTACTTTGATTTCTAATTACAGATTAGCTTGATTTTCCACTTCATGTTGCGGAAAAGAGAAGAGGCCAAATTGAAGCCACACAAATATTCTTTGTTATGTGTGTCCGTGCATGTGAAAGACATCACATTTCTTTGGGGATTTAAAATTCCTAAGTGCCAACTTACATGTTTGATTGCCATTTAACTTCATAGGATCAATATTCATATATCCAAAGAATTTCCTTCTCTCCATTTAATCCTCCTCTTCCTCTACCACCATTATGGAAGACATTTAGTTCATTTGGTAGTTTGGGAAATATTTTGTGGTTGGAATATTTTAATTGCCAAAATACTTAGATCTTAGAATACGTAGAATCACTAAAAAATCTTTCCCCAATCATTAAACAATGCAATAATACATCAGAAACTCTCTAATGAGTAGCAGGCAGTATGAGGCAGTAAGAGCCGAGGTGGTGCAGTGGTTAGAGTGCTGTACTGCAGGCTACTTCAGCTGACTGCAGTTCAGCAGTTCTGCAGTTCGGCTGTTNTCTATTCTATTCTATTCTATTCTATTCTATTCTATTCTACTCTACTCTACTCTACTCTACTCTACTCTACTCTATTCTATTCTATTCTGTTCTATGAAAGACCAATTGCTTTTTTGAATAGCACCTATGGACAATTATGACCAGGATGATTGAGAATATCCATAGCCATCACAAAAACAATTGGACTGTAACTGATTTTTATTTAATAATCTTATGTAATGCATGGCAGTAGCCAAAAAAGCCAATACGATCCTTGGTTGTATAAACAGAGGCATAGAATCAAAATCATGTGAAGTATTTGTACCACTTTATAAAGCCTTAGTAAGACCACATCTGGAATATTGCTTCCAGTTCTGGTCTCCCCCTTTCCACATAGATGCAGAGACTTTGGGGGAGGGGGAAGTGCAAAGAAGAGCAACTTAAGATTATTAAGGGCTTGGAGACTAAAACATATAAAGAACGGTTGCAGAAATTGGGTTTGGCTAGTCTAGAGAAAAGGATATAAAAACAGTGTTCCAGTATCTATGGGGCTGCCACAAAGAAGAGAGGGTCAACCTATTTTCCAAAGCAGCAGTAAGGCAAGACAAGAAACAATGGATGGAAACTAATCAAGAAAAAAAGCAACGTGGAATTAAGAAGAAACTTCCTAACTGAGGACAATTAACCAGTGGAACAGCTTCCCTTCATCACTAGAAGTTTTTAAGAAAAGACTGAATAAACACCTATCTGAAATGGTAAAAGATCTCCTGCTTGAGCAGGGGGATGGACTAGAAGACCTCCAAGGTCCTTCCAGCTCTATTATGATTGATATAATTTCTTTATCTCCATCATGCCTAGCCCCATCATGTCCCCACCATAACCACCTAAAAGACAAGTGAATTGCCCTTAACAATATAAAAACGCCATTCTTCCCACTAAAACTGAAAACACCCCAGGTCTCACCTGAGCGCGGGGTCCCACTGGGTCCCGGCAAGTGGCAAAGATCCATTTTGGGGGGTTGTTCTTCTCCACCAGCTGCCTGACCAGCTCCAAGCCAAGTCCCCGATTGGCCCCGGTTACCAGAACGCTGGATGGATTCAGTTGAGCCATCTCTCTTGCCGGCTATGATCCAACTAACAAACGGTACTGTGCTCAACCCAATTAAATCTCCTCCAGTCCTCGCTGGCCTCCAATCCCTCCACCCTGAGTTATGTAACATACTTGGCTCCGGTGTCCAAGTTCTTTGGAGAACAGGGGTGGGGGAGATGATTGGCCATCATCCAAATGCTCAGGTCATGTTTTACTGCCCTAGTTGTGTGAGGGGATACATTTTTGACATTTCCCATAGCGAATGTTTACACATCTAAAGGATGTTTGCTCTGCTTCCCGTCTTGAAAAAAACAGCTTATGAACAAATTGGTAAATCTTTTTTTTTTTAAACAGATCAAATCTTGTTTGAAAACCTCAAGCAATGAAACCACTGATGGAAGTAATGTTTACCTTGCTTTCTCCATAACAGGCTGCATTCTTGGGCTCAGGTTTAGTGAAATGAGATGCTCTTTGATTCACAATAAATAGGGGTGTATGGTTTCTTAATGTTGCACCCAGTGGTGGGATACAGCCAGTTCGCACTTATTCGGGAGAACCGGTTGGTAACTTTCTAAGCAGTTCAGAGAACCGGTTGTTGGAAGAAATCTTAAGAGCCGAGGTGGCGCAGTGGTTAAATGCAGCACTACAGGCTACTTCAGCTGACTG